CTCGCCTCCCGCTTTGACGCTGCCCCCTTCACTGTCCCCTTCCTCAACTTCCCCTCCAAAAACCAGGTAGCCAATTAGCGCGTTGGGGCCGTCAGTTGACAAGAGCGCCGACTTATCTTGGTAAAGAACTTTCGGAAAATTTCTAAGGTAAGCTTAACTGCCTGCAGCAAAACAGATTTATTTTTCAATAATTCTGTTTTTTTATTAGCATTCTATAAATTTTTTTTCTTGGGCATTCTTTGCTTTTGAGTTTTTGTTCAACTTCAACTGTTTTTGTAAGTTTTATGGGAGCCTCGCTTAAATTAAGTTGAGGTTTCAAAGGAGGTTGCATAATAGCACTTATAATTTTTGGACAGAGCTTTTCTTGTACAATTCTACAGGCTAATTATCAAAGAGTTTATTCTGACTTTATAGAAACAAAAGCGATTTTGAAAAACAATTTGAGGCCAAAATACAGTTTTTTAGAATAGCTGTGGAATTTAAAAATTGTTGGAAAAAAACATGCATGTTTCTCACAGAAGCAAGCCTGCAGTACGCTCATCTAAAACTGTATTCTAAATGAGCTGTCTACAAATAAAAACAGAAAATCGAGAAAGCTTATAGATTTAGAAATCTCTCATCTGTAAGAAAAATAGACTATTACACTATAATGACTAGTATCTAATCAGTCAAAAACTTCATATGTCTGGTAAAAAACAATGATCGGTTTTAATCAAGGAAAAAAATTGGCGGAGAATGACTAAATAACTGCATTGACTGCACTGAAAAAATCGCTGTTGCATCTCTAAACCAAATTCTGATTCTGTTTACAGTTATTTTGCGATCGCAGTGCAATTAATTTCTTACCGTGTTGGATTTGTTACATCTGCTTCAGGGAGCGAGAAGATTTATTAGAACGAATAAGAAGCAGAAAGCACCTGCAGGCACTCTGTATTTTTCTAGCTGCACCTAATAGCGCGCTTGGTCACCACTCTCCTGACAACCGCTGGTTCAATTAGAAGAATTTCCACTATAATAGGGGTAATCTCTGTAGTTGTAACCAGCTATCAC